GTGTTATCCTTTTTTAAAGAGGGTCGGCTTCTTTATGTCTGGCTAGCTTAGGGTTTGTGTTTTGTAATGATATTTATTATTACTAAAAATAATGGTAGTGTTATGACAATAGCGATAGTTCTATCTCCAGACAGGAATACAATTTATTTATTTATTTACTATTCTTGTATACCGCTGTATCTCAAGCCCGAGGGCGACTCACAGCGGTTTCCAGACAGTAAACAACAAAGACAGTAAAAACAGCAGCAATCAATATACCATAGCAGTTAAACTACACAATTCCATTACTAGCAATAACAACATCAATACACAGTTATCACAAAAAACCCACCCCCGATCGCCTCGTCATCCAAAACGTGATCCAAATTCATCGTCCATTGTTCCGTTCCTATGTTCAATTACCAGATTGCACTGAATTACTCAAACGCCTGCACAAACATCCAGGTCTTCAACTTTCTACGGAATGCCATTAGAGATGGTGCTAGTCTAATGTCCGTAGGAAGGACGTTCCACAGCCGAGGAGCCACCACCGAGAAGGCCCTATCTCTTGTCCCCGCCAGCCGTGCTTGAGAAGCAGGCGGGATCGAGAGCAGGGCCTCCCCGGAAGATCTCAAAGTCCGGGTGGGTTCATAGGCCGAGATGCGGTCAGATAGGTATCTTGGGCCGGAACCGTTTAGGGCTTTATAGGCCAGTACCAACACCTTGAATTGGGCCCGGTAGCAAATCGGCAGCCAGTGGAGCTGGTGCAACAGGGGGGTTGTGTGCTCCCTGCGCTCCGCTCCTGTTAGAATCATGGCTGCCGCGCGTTGGACTAGTTGCAGCTTCCGGGCCGTCTTCAGGGGCAGCCCCACGTAGAGAGCGTACTTTCTCTGTCCCTCGGTTAATGAGACATCTGGCTGATTCTAGGGGCCTCATCACACTAGAGAAAAAATCCACTTGAAATCCGGTTTCTGCCTCCTGTGGAATTCTGGGGTTTGTAGTTAAGGGGAAGCCTTTAATAGCATCATTACATTACAAACCCCAGAATTCTGCAGGAGGCAGAAACCAGATTTTAAATGGATTTTTTCCCTCTAGTGTGATGGGTTTCCATGGCAAATCTCTAGTGCAGTGGTTCTCAACCTGTGGGTCCCCAGATGTTTCTGGCCTTCAACTCCCAGAAATCCTAACAGTTGGTAAACCGGCTGGGGTAACAGTTGGGTCTTTTCTGTGAGTCTTTAGGGACCTGTTCGGGAAACACCTGGCTCTTTTCTGTAACCCTCTAGTGACCTCTTGGGATAACAGGTGGTTCTTTCTTGCAACCTTCTAGTGACATCATGCAGTAACAGCTGGCTCTTTCCTACAACCCTCTAGTGACCTCTTGGCATAACATCTGACTCTCCTGCAACCTTCTAGTGAAATCATAGAGTAACAGCTGGCTCTTTCCTGCAACCCACTAGTGACCTCTTGGGGTAACATCTGATTCCTTCCTGCAACCTTCAAGTGACATCATGGGGTAACTGGCTCTTTCCTGCAACTTTCTAGTGGCCTCTTGGGATAACATCTGGCTCTTTCCTGCAACCCTCTAGTGACCTCATGTGGTAACAGCTGGCTCTTTCCTGCAAGTTCTAGTGACATGGGGTAACTGGCTCTTTCCTGCAACTTTCTAGTGACCTCTTGGGATAACATCTGGCTCTTTCCTGCAACCCTCTAGTGACCTCATGTGGTAACAGCTGGCTCTTTCCTGCAACTTTCTAGTGACCTCATGGAGTAACAACTGGCTCTTTCCTGCAACCTTCTAGTGACATCACGGGGTAATAACTGGCTCTTTTCTGCAACCCTCTAGTGATTTCATGTGCTAACAGCTGGCTCTTTCCTGCAACCCTCTAGTGACCTCATGTGGTAACAGCTGGCTCTTTCCTGCAACTTTCTAGTGACCTCATGGGGTAACATCTGACTCTTTCCCACAACTTTCTAGTGATTTAATGGGGTACTGGCTCTTTCCTGCAACCTTCTAATGACTTCATGGTGTAACAACTGGTTGTTTCCCCGCAACTTTCTAGTGACAGAATACAAACAATTCATTAGTTGTAACTAGTTACTAACAAGCTCTCCAGCAACTGAATGTCATTAATCCCAAATAGAATTCCTAGCCTCGAAGGAGGGGATTAGAGGGGCTTGGTATGTGTGAAAAACAACATTGTTTTTCAACCCATTTATGCTAAATACCCCAATGTCATTGTGGTAATAGTTCCATTCAGAAAAAGATTTCCCCTGCATACATGAAGCTGTGTGTAATCTGATTAGTAATTGGCACTAATTAATTCTAATCTCAGTGGGAAACACTTTAGGGAAACAGATAATGGAGGAAGGGAACAGTGATTCATAGTATTCATACAAGGTAATCTAATAATTTTCAAGGGGAAGGGGCCATATACTCAGACTGCTGTGGCTCCTTTCCCTTTTTAGAGCAATTTAGGCCACACCTACACTGCCTTTATAATGCAGATGGAACTGCATCACATGGCCATATAATCCAGTTCAGTGCAGTTAAACTGCATTATATGACTCTACACCAGTGGTTCCCAACCTGTGGGCCGCGAGACCTAAAATATGGTTTTCTGTGTGCAAGCAGATGGTAACTACGGGATGGCATATGTTCTGTATCAGAAGCTAGAGCTGATGTGGTCTATCCAATGCAGTTTTCTGAATCTGCACCCCAAAATAACCAAACAGAATCCAAAGTTGGCTAAAAACTGATTCGTAACCCTTTTGGTACTAATGTTGGATAGAGTTCCCTGGTCAAAAAAAGGTTGGGAACCACTGCTCTACACTGACCATGTAATGTTTTATATGACCATAAAAATATGAGGTTAAAAAGAATAAATATGAGGTAAAATAACAAAAATAAGGGGAAATAATAAAAATATGAGAAAAATAAGAAAAATGTGAGGTAAAAATAAAAAAACAGATTAAAATAAATATATCAGGTAAAATAACCAAAAAGGAAAAAGTAATAAAAATATGAGGTAAAATAATAAGAGGTAAAAATCATAAAAATATGAGGTAATATAACAAAAATTAAGGAAAAACACAAAAATATGAGGCAAAATATAAGGTAAAAAGAATAAAAATATGAGGTAAAATTAGAAAAAAATTAAGGAAAAATCATTAAAATGAGGTCAAATAATATAAGGTAAAAAGAATAAAAATATGAGGTAAAATTAGAAAAAAAAATTAAGGAAAAATCATAAAATATCAGGTAAATAATATGAGGTTAAAATAATAAAAACATGAGGCAAAATAAGAAAAAAATAAATAAAAATATGAAGTAAAATAATAAATTGTGAGGTTTAAAATAATAAAAATATGCAACAAAATAACGAATAAAATAAAGGAAAAATAATAAAAAGGATAACGTAAAAGCAAAAAAAAACCAGAAATCTGAGGTAAAATAATAAAAATGAGGTAAAATAATATGAGGTAAAAAGAATAAAATATGAGGTAAATTTACAAAAAATAAGGAAAATTTATGAAGTTAAAAATAATAAAAGCATGAGGTAAAATAATAATATATGAGATAAGAAAATTATGAGGTAAAAATAATAAAAACATGTGGCAAACTAAGAAAAAATAACAAATAAATAAAAAATATGAGGTAAAATAATAAAATATGAGGCTTAAAATACTAAAAATATGAGACAAAATAACAAATAAAATTTAGGAAAAATAATAAAAAAGATGAGGTAAAAGCAAAAAATATGGAATAACAGAAATATGAGGTAAAATAATATGAGGTAAAAAGAATAAAATATGAGGTAAATTTACAAAAAATTAAGGAAAAATAATAAAAATATGAGGTAAAATAGTAAAATTATGAAGTTAAAAATAATAAAAGCATGACATAAAATAATAATATATGAGATAAAATAATAAAGTTATGAGGTTGAAATAATAAAAACATGAGTTAAAATAAGAAAAAATAAGAAATAAATAAATAAAATATGAAGTAAAATAATAAATTATGAGGTTTAAAATAATAAAAATATGCAACAAAATAACAAATAAAATTAAGGAAAAATAAAAAGATGAGGTAAAAGCAAAAAATAAGGAATAGAAATATGAGGTAAAATAATAAAAATATGAGGTAAAATAATATCAGGTAAAAAGAATAAAATATGAGGTAAATTTACAAAAAAATAAGGAAAAATCATAAAAATATGAGGTAAAATAGTAAAAATTATGAAGTTAAAAATAATAAAAGCACGAGGTAAAATAATAATATATGAGGCAAAATAAGAAAAAATAAGAAATAAATAAATAAAAATATGAGGTAAAATAATAAATTGTGATGTTTAAAATACTAAAAATATGAGACAAAATAACAAATAAAATTTAGGAAAAATAATTTTAAAAAGATGAGGTAAAAGCAAAAAAATAGGGAATAATAAAAATATGAGGTAAAATAAATAATAAAATAATATAATATGGGGTAAAATAATAAAAATATGAGGTAAAATAAAAAAATAAGAAAAAGTAATAGAAATGAGGTTAAAATAACAATATGAGATAAAATAACACAAAATAAGGAAAAAATAGTAAAATATGAGGTAAAAATAATAAAATTATGATTTATTAACAAAATCAAGCATTAAATAGTAAAATATGAGGTAAAATAAATAATAAAATATAATATGGGGTAAAATAATAAAAATATGAGGTAAAATAAATAATAAAATATAATATGGGGTAAAATAATAAAAATATGAGGTAAAATAATAAAAATGAAGTAAAATAAGAAAAAATAAGGAAAAGTAATAGAAATGAAAAATAATAAAAAATATGAGGTAAAATAACACAAAATAAGGAAAAAAATAGTAAAATATGAGGTAAAAATAATAAAATTATGAATTTATTAATAAAACCAAGCCTTTCAAAGCCATTTCAAGGCCTTCCCTTCACTCCAAAGGCACCTATGGGACAGGGCTACTTATTTATTTAGTAAATAAATTAAAACCACTGACCTTCGTTGAGAAGGAAACAAATAAAAACCAGGCCAATGAGTACAACTCTTCCAGGCTTCAGTGCTGAATGAAGGGGAAAGCTGTAAGTCAACCAGAGAGAGAGTTTATTAGCTTGGAATGGCAGGCAACATGAGGGTATATAATGTATTATTATTATTATTATATCACAGTGTATTATTCCTGTGGAGAACATACTGTGTGTGTGTGCTGCAGAGGCTGTAACTGACAACTAGGCCAAGGGAAACTGAGGAGAAGTTCATCTCCGAGATGCCCGGATGTCGCTCCTTTTCTCCCCCTCCCTTCCCGAAAGGGGCGGGGCTTACTGGCAGATGGAGAGTTAGCCTCAAAATGGCGGCTGCGACCCGCGCGCCGACTGTAAGTTTCCATGGCAACCCACCGGGTTTCCCTTTAACCTGTCTCCTACAATGGTGGTGGATTGTTATTGTTGTTCTCCTTTGGCTCCGTTGCTTCCCGTTTTTAAGTGTGTTTTATCTGTTTTAAATTGTGTTTACCTCTCTCTCTCTCTCTCCCCCTTCCCCAGTTGTGGCCAAACTGGGATTCGAACCCCGTTTTCCAGGGTCGTAGGCCGAGGCTCAAACCACTAGGCCATGCAGCTTCCCTCTCTACTTCATTTCCCAGTCCAACCCTAGTCTGACAGGCAAAGAAACACCATCAAAACCCTCCTGACAGATGGCCATGCAGCCTCTGAATCATAGAACACTACAGTTAGTATCCCAAAAGCCATCCAGTCTATTTCCCGTCTGACAGGCAAAAGGACACAATCAAAACCCTCCTGACAGATGGCCATGCAGCCTCTGGATCATAGAACTCTTCAGATTGGGATCCCAAAGGTCATTCAGTCCATCAAAACCCTCCTGACAGATGGCCACACAGCCTCTGAATCATAGAATCCTATAATTTGGATCCCAAAAGCCATCCACTCTAATTCCCATCTGAGAGGCAAAAGGACACAATCAAAACCCTCCTGACAGATGGCAACACAGCCTCTGGATCATAGAACTCTTCAGATTGGGATCCCAAAGGTCATTCAGTCCATCAAAACCCTCCTGACAGATGGCCACGCAGCCTCTAAATCATAGAACCCTACAATTTGGATCCCAAAGGCCAGCCAGTCTAATTCCCGTCTGACAGGCAAAAGGACACCAACAAAAAGCCCCTGACAGATGGCCATGCAGCCTCTGAATCATAGAATCCTACAATTTGGATCCCAAAGGTCATTCAGTCCAACTCCAGTCTGACAGGCAAAGTGACACCATCAAAACTCTCCTGACAGATGGCCACACAGCCTCTGGATCATAGAACTCTTCAGATTGGAATCCCAAAGGCTATCCAGTCCAACCCCAGTGTAACAGGTAAAGAGACACCATCAAAACCCTCCTGACAGATGGCCACGCAGCCCCTGAATCATAGAACTCTTCAAATTGGGATCTCAAAGGCTATCCAGTCCAACCCCAGTGTGACAGGCAAAGAGACACCATCAAAACCCTCCTGACAGATGGCCACACAGCCTCTGAATCATAGAACACTTCAAATTGAGATCCCAAACACTATCCAATCCAACCCCAGTGTGACAGGTAAAGAGACAACATCAAAACCCTCCTGACAGATGGCAACGCAGCCTCTGAATAATAGAATCCTACAATTGGGATCCCAAAGGCTATCCAGTCTAATTCCCGTCTGACAGGCAAAAGGACACAATCTAAACCCTCCTGATAGATGACCATGCTGCCTCTGAGTCATAGAACACTTCAAATTGGGATCCAAAAGACCATCCAGTCCACGTAGCCTCTGAATCATAAAATCCTACAATTGGGATCCCAAAGGCCATCCAGTCCAACCCCAGTGTGACAGGTAAAGAGACACCATCAAAACACTCCTGACAGATGGCCACACAGCCTCTGGATCATAGAACTCTTCAGATTGGGATCCCAAAGGCTATCCAGTCCAATCCCAGTGTAACAAGTAAAGAGACAACATCAAAACCCTCCTGACAGATGGCCATGCCTTTGAATCATAGGAACCTACAATTTGGATTTCAAAGTCTGATTCCCGTCTGACAGGCAAAAGGACACCATCAAAACCCTCCTGCCAGATGGCCACACAGCCTCTGAATCATAGAACCCTACAGTTGGGATCACAAAGGTCATTCAGTCCAACCCCAGTGTGACAGGTAAAGAGACAACATCAAAAGCCTCCTGACAGATGGCCACACAGCCCCTGAATCATAGAATCCTACAGTTGGGATCCCAAAGGCCATCCAGTCTAACTCCCGTCTGACAGGCAAAAGGACACAATCAAAACCCTCCTGACAGATGGCCACGCAGCCTCTCAATAATAGAATCCTGCAATTTGGATCCCAAAGGCCATCCAGTCTAATTCCCGTCTGACAGGCAAAAGGACACAATCAAAACCCCCCTGACAGATGGCCACACAGCCTCTGGATCATAGAATCCTATAATTGGGACCCCAAAGGCCATCCAGTCCAACCCCAGTGTGACAGGTAAAGAGACACCATCAAAACCCTCCTGACAGATGGCCACACAGCCTCTGAATCATAGAACACTTCAAATTGGGATCAAATTTGGACTGGGTGGCCTTTGAGATACCAATTGTAGGTTTCTATGATTCAGATGCTGCATGGCCATCTGTCAGGAGGATTTTGTTGTTGTCTCTTTGCCTGTCACACTGGGGTTGGACTGGATAGTCTTTGGGATCCCAATTATAGCATTCTATGATTCAGGGGCTGCGTGGCCATCTGTCAGGAGGGTTTTGATGGTGTCTTTTTGCCGGTCAGATAGGGGTTGGACTGGATGGCCTTCGGGTTCCCAATTATAGGATTCTATGATTCAGAGGCTGCCTAGACATCTGTCAGGAGGGTTTTGATGGCATCTCTTTGCCTGTCACACTTGGGTTGGACTGGATGGCCTTTGGGATCCCAATTATAGGATTCTATGATTCAGAGGCTGCGTGGCCATCTGTCAGGAGGGTTCTGATGATGTCTCTTTGGCTGTCACACTGGGGTTGGACTGGATGGCCTTTGGGATCCCAACTTGAAGTGAAAATAAAAAGATAATCTGGGTTATAGAGCAGTGTAGATCCAGCCTAAACGTTGTGCCTTCTGTCTCCCAATTGAGATTAATTTTGCAAGTTCCTTGTAGAAGAGAGAGCTCCCTCCTCTGGTTCATAGACATGCAAGTGACCTTCTTCAGCCAGGGATTAGCACCAGCCTGGAAAAAGGAGAGGTGGTTGTCCTGCTGCCAAGTGTTGGGGTCAACAACATGCCTGACATTGGACATCGCTGCTCCCTGGGAAAGCCTTCAGAGTGCATATATAAACCCTGGGCAGCTTGCAGGATTCAACCCCACCGAATGCATGGGGTTTGGGACTTTTTTGGGGGGGGGGGGGAGATTGGGCACTTTATTTGAAAGGGTCTTTGAGTGAAATTTCCAAATGCTAAGCAAGGGGCTTTGAATGAAATTAACAGCAAAAAGAGCAACACGGAAGAAAATGTTTTTAAGAAACAAGACGTCATAGAAAGTTCAAGCCTACATAGGAAGTAGTTGTGTTGTGGTTAAGCCAAAGGTGGTGGTTAAGCGCAGAGTCTGCAGGTACAAGAAGGTACTTTCCATCAAAAGCTCAAGGGAGAGGGGCTAGAAAGAGAATACTTTCCATGACCAAAAAAAATGTTATTGTTTACTTTAGGGCAGTGGTTCTCAACCTTCCTAATGCCATGGCCCCTTTGTACAGGTCCTCATGTTGTGGTGACCCCCAACCATAACGTTATTTTCGTTGCTACTTCATAACTGTAATTTTGCTACTGTTATGCTAAGGTAAAGGTAAAGGTAGTCCCCTGACATTAAGTCCAGTCAGGTCTGACTCTGGGGTGTGGTGCTCATCTCCATTTCTAAGCCGAAGAGCCAGCGTTGTCCGTAGACACCTCCAAGGTCATGTGGCCAGCATGACTGCATGGAGCGCCGTTACCTTCCTGCCGGAGCGGTACCTATTGATCTACTCACATTTGCATGTTTTCGAACTGCTAGGTTGGCAGAAGCTAGGGCTGACAGCGGAAGCTCACGCCGCTCCCCGGAATCGAACCTGTGACCTTTCGATCAACAAGCTCAACAGCTCAGTGCTTTAACCCACTGCGCCACCGGGGGCTCCTATAATGTAGATATGCAGGATGTATTTTCATTCACTGGACCAAATTTAGCACAAATACCTGATATGCCCAAAATTTGAATACTGGTGGAATTGGGGGTGATCGATTTTGTCATTTGGTAATGCTGAAGTTGCTGGGATTTATAGTTCACCTTAAATCAAAGAGCCTTCTGAACTCCATCAATGATGGAATTGAATCAAACATGGCACACAGAATTCCCATGACCAAGAGAAAATACTGGGAAGGTCTGGTGGACATTGACCTTGAGTTTTGGAGTTGTAGTTCACCTACATCCAGAGAACACTGTGGACTCAAACAATGATGGATCTGGACCAAACTTGGCACGAATATTCCATATGCCCAAATATGAACACAGATGGAGTTTAAGGGAAATAGACCTTGACATTTGGGAGTTGTAGTTGCTGGGATTTATAGTTCACCTACAATCAAAGAGCATTCTGAACTCCACCAATGATGGAATTGAACCAAACATGGCATACAGGACTTCCATGACCAACAGAACACACTGGAAGGGGTTGGTGGGCATTGACCTTGAGTTTGGGAGTTGTAGTTCACCTACATCCAGAGAGCACTGTGGACTCAAACAATGATGGATCTGGATCAAACTTGGCACAAATACTCAATATTCCCAAATGTGAACACTGGTAGAGTTTGGAGAAAATAGACCTTGCCATTTGGGAGTTGTAGTTATTGGGATTTATAGTTCACCCACAATGAAATAGCATTCTGAACCCCACCAACGATAGAATTGGACCAAACTTTCCACACAGAACCCCCATGACCAACAGAAAATACTATGTTTTCTGATGGTCTTTGGCGACCCCTCTGACACCCCCTCGCCACCCCCACAGGGGTCCCCACCCCCAGGTTGAGAAACACTGCTTTAGGGTATATAACGGTGTTCAAAAGCCAAGGGGGCGCAGCAGTCACTTGAAGGGTAGCATCTGCGTATGCTGCCAGGCTCTCCGTCTTCTTCATGAAGAAACTAAAATAAATCTTGTTTTTTGATCTTTTTTGCGGGGGGGGGGGGGGGGACTGTCTCCTTTGTTACATTCTCCCGTGATGTGGACCTAAGGGTCTCTAACATATTTACCCCAGTTGCTTGCTTTGTGGCAGCAGCAATGCCATGCTTCCGAAGCCAGGTTTTCCAATTCCCTTTTGTTTTGTTTGCTTGGCTTGCTTCGGAAGGCAAGCCATGCGTGAAGTTTGCAGCGGCTTGCTCATTTCCCTCCTGTGCGTCCCTATGCCATCAACCCAGGGACGCACATAGACGGCAAGGGAGGTGTGCGTCTCCCATCTCCATCAATGGGACATGACAAGGGAGGGGGTCCCTGGGCGGTTGCTGTGGCAACAGATCAACTGATTGACAGGGATGCAGATGGAAAACTGCGTCCTTTATAATTTTGCCTCTTGATTAAGGTTCTGCTCGACTGGAGACAGCTAGCCGTCTGCTTTGGGTGCCTCAAGGTCGATGCTTTGAGTCTCCTTTTGGAGAGAAAACGCAGGGTGTAAATAAAAATAATGATAATAATAATCTATATAAATAAAAATCCAATGTGCAAAAATCCAATTCCACAGATATATAAATCCCTTTTTTCCCAGCTCCAGCAGACCTCACCTCTGAGGATGCTTGCCATAGATGCAGGCGAAACGTCAGGAGAAATGCCTCTAGAACATGGCCATATAGCCCGAAAAAACCCACAAGAACTGAATCCAATGTACGTTCGTGAATGACCTCAAATCTCCCAAAATACTTCACCAATTGCGTCGGAATTTGGACACAACGTAGCTTTCAAACAAGCGAAGGTTTTCATGTTTTCGCATATTTACTATTATATATATGTAACACCTGTGACAGGTAAAAACATGCTTTGCATCAAAGTCAGCGCCATCTGCTGGACGGCCAGGGTTATTATTTATTTATTTATTTATTTATTTATGACATTTATATGCCGCGCTTCTCACCCCGAAGGGGACTCAGAGCGGCTTACAAGGTATATATACATAGAATATATTATTAACATAGTATAATATCAGTTTTAAATATTGCTATATGGCACTGTATCAATTATACTGTAATATTATTAGTAATATTACATGTAATATAAATATATAATTATGATATCATATTATTAGTAGTAGTATTATATTGCATTACATTACAATATTATAAATATTATATGTATATACAATATATTATATATTATATTATAACATATTATTAGAATAGCACAGGAGACACAACAAGATTGTGTTCGAAACACAACAAGATGAGTCCACAGCAGACACTCTGCTGGCTGTTGTATTGGATCACACGTCGGACACTTCC